ATAATTGTATCTACACTAGGACCCATGGGCCGTGGAGGCTATGGAGGTGGTGGCAGTGGTGGTGCTGGCCGGGGAGGATTCCCCAGTGGAGGTGGTGGTGGTGGAGGACAGCAGCGAGCTGGGGACTGGAAGTGTCCTAATCCGTGAGTGAAACTTCTTTAATTATTTCCTCAGTCCTCTTACATGTGCCTTTGATGCTAGGGTAGAGTTGTGTCTTTTCTAAACTAATGTCAAGGCCCCACTGATGGGGACAGATTTGGCCGAGAGCTTACCTAGGTAAGGTCATGATAATGGGAAAGGTATTGGATTGGGTTCAGTAATCTGCAGTTTTTGTTCCTGGCTCTGCTCCTGAGAAGCAAGCTTTTTTTGCCTTTCTGAGGCCTCAGTTTCCTCACTATCTATATGGTCTCTGGAGTCTTCCTAATTCTGAGTTTTGCCTACCTCTCACTGCTCAACACTGATTCCCTTCCTTTTTCTCAGTACATGTGAAAACATGAACTTCTCTTGGAGGAATGAATGCAACCAGTGTAAGGCCCCTAAACCAGATGGCCCAGGAGGGGGACCAGGAGGCTCTCATATGGGTAAGGAATAGATGGAGCTGATAATGCATTAGGATCAAAAAGCCCTTAATTTTAAGTAGGGAGTCTAGCGGGAAGGTAGGGGGGATTTGGGGGATGTGATACATCATTTCTTTTGTTCCTAGGTGGTAACTATGGAGATGATCGTCGTGGTGGCAGAGGAGGCTATGATCGGGGCGGCTACCGAGGCCGAGGCGGGGACCGTGGGGGCTTCCGAGGGGGCCGGGGTGGTGGGGACAGAGGTGGCTTTGGCCCTGGCAAGATGGACTCCAGGTTAGTAAGATTCTAAATTGAGATAAAAGTAGAGCAACTGAACAGAGGTCGTGGGATAGTGGATAGCAAGGTTCTGTTGAGGGTGGTTTCATTTTGAGGGCTAGATTGGAAAGCTGAGTTACAACATAGAGGGTAGGGAAGGAGGGGAAATTATCTCAGGCAACTAATCTGTAGACCCACACTTAAAGACTCTATACTCTGTATGTAGAGGGAGGAGACATTTCTTGGGGTGGGTAGCAGGGGCAGATGGGCAGATTGGATTTTGGGGGTACGGTGGGTGGAGAGGTTGGTAACTCAGACCTAATGGATACTCTTTCTTGCAGGGGTGAGCACAGACAGGATCGCAGGGAGAGGCCGTATTAACCTGGCTCCTGAGGTTCTGGAACAGCTTTTCTTCCTGTACCCAGTGTTACCCTCATTATTTTGTAACCTTCCAACTCCTGATCTACCCACGGGTTTTTTGTGTCGGACTATGTAATTGTAACCATACTTCTGGTTCCCATTAAAAACCATCGTTTTAGTTAAATTTTCTTCCTCTTCTTCCTCTTCACTCTCCTGGAGGATTGATGTCCGGGTCAGGAATGTGGGCAGTCTTCCTTTTTCATATCATCCTGCCTAGCAGGAACTGGTGTAATTTGTTCCTGCTTAGCAGGAACTGGAATAAAATGTTTGATATTTGGTCCAGGGGAGAAAAGGTCAAATGGTATCTTTGAAAGTAGAGATTAAACTTTTCTGTCATGACAAAAATTGGATGTATGTGAATGGGGTAAATGAAGAACACATGCTAGGAGTGTTGCCCAAAATGTATCCAACTTTGTGGGAGTTTTCCCGCATTTATTCACATGCTGGTCTTAGTGAGTTTACTATTTATAGCTGTTTTATCCTTTTTAAGGACTCTTGGCACTTTTCTGAGTGGAGGGACTCAAAACAAACCAGGTTTGCTTTTGGGGCTTTATTCAAACTTGACCAAGATGGGGAGTGCATAGCTAGCCAAATTGGGTCTTTTGAGAGAAGAGTAACTGAAGCACCTCCTTCATGGCGGAGGTTCTCTTGGCTTGCTCACTCCACAGGCATAAAATGAAGTGTGTGGGTTATGTGGCTCTCAGAGTCAGAAAGTGGTAGTGCTAGGACTGAGTCCTAGTCTTCTGACCTAATTCCTTAGCAGTTTTATTCTGAAACTATTTTTCTGAAGGGGACAAACTCCTATCCCAAACATTTTGTGTAGACTTAGTTAAGAGGATGGTAAATTTGAGGGGGGAAGCTTGGGAATGAAAGAGATGGTAGGGGAGAAGGTTGGCTGGGAAAGGATTGTAGAGGCAGTTCCTTGTACTTCAAGGTAAGTGACCTGACCCCTGACACAGCCACCGTCCCAGGTGTCTGATTAGCGGGTAGATGCAGTTTGGGGGTCTTTTCCAGGAGAATGGGTGGAGATGGCAATAGCAGAGGGCATGTTGGTTCTGAGAATCTTGTTCTGGTTCCAGCTCATCCTTGGTGAAAAAATAGTGAGGCCTATGGGGTTTGGACTCTGGGCCCTCTGCTCCTTGCTACACTTCCTTGTAAATAGACAACTATTAGCCATGTTTCTCTGTTTGGTGAGAATTTCAGACTAGTCTTCTAAAGAATATGTTCCTCTTAATGAATATTGAAGATGGTCTGCAATCTTGAACCACTAGCTGCTTGCTTGGCTTTCTAAGATTGGAATTGGCATTGGGACAGGCTAACTAGGAGTAAGTGAGCAGGATAGATTGTGGGTTGGGAGAGGTGTGCTGCAGGTCTTTCTGCCTCCTTTGACTGAGTTGTCTGTCTTCAGCTTTTTTTCTTCACTTGCTGGGCCTGCCTGTTTCAGTAACTTGGATATAGGGTTGAGGTTTAGTCACTCATGGCTAGATTGACCAGGAGTCCAGCCCCTATGGGACTGAACACATTACTTGTTATGTAGGCACAGTTCTTTTCACTTCCAGCTTCTCGTCTCTTAATCATCCACCATGGATTTTGTAACCAGATCTCACTTCCTATACCAGTTTGCAAGAGAGGCTGAACTTTGAGATGTGGAGTCCCATCTGTAAACATTCCTCTTCAGTCTTTCCAGAATTCAGACTCCCTTTCCTACCTTTGGGCCCTAAGTACTTAGAGAGCATCTTTCCTTTCATCTTTAACTTTATTATTGTGAAGTAACTTTAGACTCAGAAGAAAGTTTCCTCAAAAATTATCTCATTCACCTGCCCATGCGCATGCAATCTTCATGGTGCTGGCATCGAAGAACTGAGGAAGTGTCAAGTGGATCTGGCTAGCAGATTTGACTTTAGGGTTTGTAGAAATTATTGGGTCCTCAATCTTAGAGTATTAGCAGTTAGAGGAGCCATTAAATCTAAAATTCTCTATCCTTGATGTGAAAAGTTTACCTCATGAACAGGAGTTTGGGTCTGGAAGTAGTGCTCTCTGCTGATGGATAGTGCTCTCTCAGCTCCTTGGGAGAGAAGGGCCCCTTTAACAAGAACAATTGAGAGCTACCATTGTGATTGGAGACAGGAAAGGAACTTGGCCTGTTGAGTTGAAGATTTGGGATTCTCTGTGCTGTAATGGAGAACTCCAAGGTGGGGCGGGGAGTGGGTGAGTGGGATGGTAATGGGAAGGATACACTTGAAAGGAGCAGGAGCTAAGCTCTGCAGCTAGGTCCTGCACACACCTCTGTGGCAGTGATGCACAGTTGCATGGATTCCCTGTAGGTGTTCATTGCAATGTCCTTAGGCTTCACTGCAGTCCCTTTGGGGTGGGGACCTCGCTGTTAGAGATCTAGGCTGATGGCTTTTTGTTGTGTTTTCCAGTTTGAGAGAAAACTGCCTACCTGTGTAAAAAGGCAGTCCTTACTGTGGGAAGGCATCAGCAATCCTGTTTGAGTCTGACAGGTGGCGGGGCCAAAGTTTCTATACAGCAGTGTGTCTAAGTTGAACACATAAATGGATCCCTTGGCAATTTTGTTAGCATGTGGATTCTAATTTGGTGTGTAGGGCACGAACTCTAGCAATGTTGACCCTGCTGGTTCAACAGCATACATTTGGAGCTGTGCTCTAAAGTTTTGCAGAGACTCCTTTTCTGCTAATTCCCTCCACCTTCCCTGTGAAGGGGAACTTTGTACAAAACCTTCTACATATGCAGTACTACCTAGGAGCTAAGAAAAAGGTTATGGAAAGCTGGGTCCTGCATAGGGGTTTTTGTTGTAATTAGCACAGGCTTAAGCCAACACTGGCTTTTGTTCTGCTTGTTTCTTTTCAGTCTTGTGATGCTGGAAGAATTGATCAAAAAATGTTGATTGCTGCAGATGCTATTCTAAACTATTGGGGAGCTAGGAACAAAAACATCCTGGTGGAGATGATTGCTAACTTCTTTGGGCCGGTTGCTGTTAGGGGTGCGCTATGTCCTGTTGTCCGCACTTTATAGATGGAGAAGCTGAAGTAGAAACTGGCCCCAATCTCATAGCTGGTGAGAGAGGTGGAGCAGGGATTTGAATCTGTATCCTTTGTCTGTAGAACTTCTGTCCTTCACCATTATGCTGCACTGTGTTTAAAGACTTCTGGTAGAACTCTGAGTTGTCCCCCAACTCCAATAAAAGGGAAAAAGGAAGTCCCCAAGAAAGTTTTTAACTTAGAGGAGCTGTTTCTTTTTTTTCTTTTTAAAGATTGGCACCTGAGCTAACAACTGTTGCCAGTCTTTTTTTCTTTTCTTTTCTGCTTTATCTCCCCAAATCTCCCTGGTACATAGTTGTATATCTTAGTTGCAGTTCCTTCTAGTTGTGGCATGTGGGACGCCGTGCCACGTGGCCTGACGAGTGGTGCCATGTCTGCACCCAGGATTCGAAACGGCAAAACCCTGGGCAGCCACAGCAGAGCGCGGCGAACTTAACCACTTAGCCACAAGGCTGGCTCTCTAGGAGCTGTTTCTTAGAGCCAGTTCTTTTGCCTCAGGCCTGCACTGGTTTTTTTAGCTGCTCTTTTTAAGGGTGTCTCTTGTTTAAGGAAGTGTTAGCTATGGCCCCATCTCATGAGAATCATTAGGTTCCTGTGAAGTTTTTAAAAAATCCTCTGTTAGACACTAAAGTTTCACAGTAACTGCCATTTATTTGATTACTTTTTACATGCAAGGCACTTGTACTGAAGTTGGAAAGATGTTTTTTTATTAGGCTTAGTCTAAGAGGAGAGTCCAATGTGAAAATAGACCATACAATATGGTTTACTTTACCACGAGACACTGCACTGGAAGTGCCACTGGAGCCCAGAGGAAGGCAGGCTAGGACAGGTAGATTTCAAGGTGTCCAGAGTTGAGAGACCAGCATGTGCTAGGGCATGGGGTGTGTGAGCAAATAGTGTTGTTGGGATCATGGGGTATATGAAGAGGAAATTAGGAGAGGCTGGATGATGGGGTCCTTAAGGGCCCGGCTGGAAGGAGAGTTTAGGTATAATGTTAGAAGTGAGACAGTCTATTTCCATGATCAGTTTTGGTCACTCAGGCCCTTGAAGGTGGTAGACTAGAGGCAGGGAGGAGGCCTCTTGCAGGTAGGACACGGGCAAGCCAGGTGGGGGCAGTGAAGTTGAAAAGGAAGGTGATTGGATGTAAGTTGGGAGAGCTAGCATCAGGCAAGACTTTTAGTCTTGAATATTAGTTGGATGTTGGTCTTGGATGTTGGAAGAGCTAGCATCAGTAAGACTGACTAAATCTGGGTTTTATGGAACACACTAGGATTTCTTGTTTTCTGATTAGGCTGCTGCTGTTGCCATATGTCAAGGGATGGTAAAACGAAGACAACTTCAGTTTTGGAAATGGTAAGGTCCTTGCAGGACATATAAGTGAACACATCTTGGATTGAATAAGGCTTGAATTATAAGACTCAAGAAGACTTGGTAGAAGAGGGTTGAGGATGGAATAGGGAGCATCAGCATGTATTTTGTGGGAATGGTTGGCTAAACAAAGATGAGCCCACAGGATGCTTAGTGTTAGGGCTGATTCCCTATTTTGGGGAAGCTCAGCTTTCCTGGAGTCGTGAGTAGGCTTAGGAGCAGTCTCATGTGACCATGTAGCCTTGACAGTAGTCACATCTTGGCTTCTTGGTAGCTTCCTCCTATAGCAAACCACTTGTTTTCTCTTGTCGCTCTGTTGATCCAGTAGATCAGAATAGGGAAGTGTTAGACACAGACTGTCAGAATGAGATTGTACATAGACCCTTGAGGGAGTGTGTGCGGGGGGAATAAACACACTGCATTTGCTAATTCTTGTGTTACCTAGGTGGGGTTATTCAAAGTGAAGTCTTCACACAGCTTTGTCATTGTGGGCTGATGTATTATTGTGAATGGCACAGAACCAATCACCTTGTACCCTCATACCTGGATCCCCCGGTGTCTGATGATTTAACTCCTAAGTATGGGATACTGGCCCTTCTTGGGCCCTGCCTGTTGCTTTGCATAGCCCCCCCTACCCCCCAGGCCAGAATTTGGGTACAAAGTGTACTCAGGAAGTAGGCTTGGGATCCTGGTTCCCTAATAGCCTCTGGAAAGGCTCTTTAAAAGAGCTGTTTGCTAGAGAGAAATACTCGTATTTCCTGTTATAGGCAAGAGAAGAAACAGTAGAACTCATTTCCTAGATGTTTTTGTGGTTGGCATGTTTTCTGAGCGAAGTATAACCTATAACCCCTTCCTTCAGGGGGTGGGAGGGAGCAGTGGGAGCAACTAAGCCTGCTGGTGATGGTGCCAGTGCCAGAAGGAACCCTAGAATTACACTTGGTGGCTTGTGTTCTTCTGTCTTACGTTTAGATGATACTTCGTGTCTCTGAAAATTACTCTAATTTTACAATTACTTTTTTTCCTAGGGAAGAAAAATGAGAAGCCATATAGTCTGTTTCTAAATGCCTCTGACAGATCTGACCCCCCACAGTTCCACACCCTTTGTACATAACCGTATTTTAACTTTTAGACCTTGGTCACAGGGCTAGCTGTAGCCTGAAGGGCAGACCCTCTGGGGTAGCACTGGAGGAGTCACCAAATGGTGAATGAGGGAATGTTCCGCAGTGACTGTGAGGCAGAAAGGATGAAGTGTCTGGGGAGCCTGCTGCCCTGGGAACAGGCAGTGAAGTAGAGCTTCACCTGAGCTGCTGTGGCATTTGGGTATGTATCCTGCAAGTGCTGTCAGGCTGCGAGTAGGAAAAACAGAAGTGCAAGCTGGTTTTTCATATATTGTGTATAAACAGATCAGATTCAGGACGATTTGGCTGGAATGCCTGGAATGCCAACAGTCACGTGGGGGGCGGCTGCTGGGCAAGATGCCTCAGCTCTGCTCCAGGTCAGCCACCAGGTATGGCTGGGTTTCCTTCAGGGCGTGAAGGAGCAGATCCTTGCAGGTCAGGTTCCAGGCTGGAGCAAAGCTGAAGAGCTTCCTCATCTTTGCTGGATTGGTGGTTTCTGCCCGCACTGCCTGGTACTGCTCCTCTGTCAGGACCCTCCCATACAGGGCATCCAGCACCCCATCCACTTCTGTGACCCGTGCGATGAGGGCTGCCCGGTGCTGGTCCATGAAGTGCAGTGCTAGGGGCAGGAGGGAGGAGAGCAGGTGAGCCTGGTGCCCAGAGAGGGTGTTGGGGCCCGTCCCTGCTGAACACTTTGCTTTCTTCAGAAATTGCTCTGAATGCAGCCCTAAGGGGTGAAGCTTAAGGTGGCGGCAGTCCACCAGGACTCTGGATATAGTGAGATGAGTATAACTTTGTCTCCCTTTCTTCCCCCAACCAGGTTGGGCCAAGGTGGGATTGGTTGGCCCAGCCTGCCCTCTCCCAGTGCTGTTGGCCTGGGACTGCAGATGGACTATGCTGGGGTGCTGTGGGGTGGGGCTGGAGAGGTGCCCAGGCAGGCGAGGTTGGGTGTGAAGGCCTCACCTATCTTGGCTGCCATCTGGGGAGGAGCCTTCATCAGGGCTGGTGTGGCACCAGGTTCTGTAAGGAAATCAGTTAAGTGCTTCCCTTCCCTTCCTCCGGTATCTCCAGTCTCTCTAGGGTCAGAGGCCCCTTGGTCCGGAAGCAAAGGTCAGGACCAAGAGCGGGAAGCTTCCCCGCCTGGCAGGAGGAGCTTTTCTTAGAGGGGAGGAGGAACAGGAAGCGAAAGAGCCCAAGGGGCAAGCGTTCAGATTGGGGGTGTGTAGGGGAGAGGATACTGGAGGAGGGCCGGGGTGGGGGGTGGGGGGGCGTCGGGACCCCTGCCAGGCGTAGAGGGGGTGTGCTCACCCTTGCGCGTGATCTCCTGCAGCCGCTCTGCCGTCTCTTGCATGCCCATGTCACGCAGCACCAGCTCCGTGAGCTCAGCTCCGTACGCCTCCAGATAGAAGCTGACGAGCTTGTCGGTGAGGTCCATGGCATCCATGGTCAGCAGCGTCCCACGAGGGATGCGCCCGTAGCCTTCGCGCAGCGGCACTGAGAGCAGCTTCATCTTGAACTTCTTGAGCTCATCGGCGGTCAGGTTTTCCAGTGCCTCTAGGATGGCGTCGCGCGTGCGCCCCATGGCTCTGGGGTCCCCTGCTGCCGTTTCCGCCGCTGCAGCTCACTCGGAGAGTCCCTCGACCAGGAAGTCTGCTCTGAGGCGGGACCTGGAACTCCCCGCCTCTGCTCCAGCCCATATTGCCCTCCAGCATAGGGTGCCCCCGCCTACCCTGTCGGTACCCACCCACTAACGTCTGCAGACTCGATCCCCTGACCATCGGAGGGCGCCAGGATCGCATCCTCTGGCTTGTCCGCCTTCTGGCAGATCCAGCGGAGAGGGGCTTATGGGTGGCGCCTGCGTCTCCAGGCTTGCGTTAACTGCTAGCACAGACCAGGAACCTGGTTTGTTGGAGCTTCCAGGCTTAGAATCTTGGAATTCTAGAACCCTGAAATCTCTAGCTTTCCCTGAACCTTACCATCCTCTCTCACATGTCTTAGAACCATAGAATCACAGAATCCTAACAACCAAAACCGTGTAGCTTCCCAAATTCCAGATACTGGGGAAAAATGAGGTGTAAAAAAAAAAGTGTAGAGAACAGCTGTGTGTGCTTTCTCTCTCTGAGCCTCACTTTCCTTATCTGTGAGATGGGGAGAATAACACTCAAATTCACTTAGCAAATATTCCAAGGTAACATGGGCTACCTGATGGCTCCTGAAACTTTGCCAAATGTTTCCTGGGAGAGCCAGAATTTGGTCCTAGGAGCTGAATTTCTTGGGAAGTGATCACAAGAAATATTTGTAATGATTGAGAAAATTCTTGACTGGAAGGAAGTCATGGGTGGAGAGCCACTCTGGGCCCAGGTAGCTTGACCCAAAAGAGCAGGTAAGAGGTGGCACAGGTTGGTGTTGGAGCCCAAGCTGTGCCCAGAATCCTTAACTCACCCTTAACATGTGTGGGAAGGCCCCGCTGGTCTGGTCCCTCAGGACCTCACCAACTTTGTCTTGTACCACACCCTGCTCTCCATCTCGAAGTTCCAACCACAGTGACCTCTCAGTTCCTCAAATGTGCCAGGCTCCTTCACTTCTCCAAGCCTTTGCACATGCGCTTTCCTCAGTCTGCCTGACAAAATCTTGAAAGTTTAGGTCTCAAGTTAAATGTCACTTCCTCCCAGAGACCAGGTTTAGAATCCGTCCCAGACTAGTCATAATACCTGCTGCTTATTTGTAGCTTTCATAGCAATTGTGACAAAATTATAACTAACTCGGTGTATTTGTTTAGCGTCAGTCTTCCCAGTAGTCTGTAAATCAGGCCTGTCCAGATCACTGCTCTATCTACAGCATCAGGAGCAGTGTTTGACCTATAGCAGGTGCTCAATAAATCTTTGTGGAATCAATAATGAATGAACGGGCCTGGTGGCTCGATCGGGAAGATATCAGTAGTGAAAGGTGTGCCTTACATATAAGCTCTTCAAAGGGAGGCAGCTTCCAGGAGCTGAAGACCATGGACTTGAAGCCATACAGCTCCTAGTTTGAATGCTGGCTCTCCTTCCTAAGTGGGTACTGGGAATCCTTCATTTTTCCCTTCCAGCTGGGTGGTAACAATCACCATTCCTTCTGGTGATGTGATCCTGACATATTATACATTTATTGGGCATCCATCTCCTCACCAGAATGTGAGCTCTATGAGGGCAGGGACCTTGTCTGTCTTATTCATTGCTGAATCCCCAGCATCAAGAAAGTGCCTGGGACGTAGTAGGTGCTCAGTGAAGATTTGCTGAATGAAGGAATGAATGAGGCTGTATTACCTGCAGCATATTGTATTGAAGAGCTTCCAGCAGGGTAGCAGGGCCCTGCTCCCCATCCTCGTGCTTTTTGCCCCAGGTGAGCTGGGTAGTACTATGTGCCAGCATCCTCACCATGGACGACATTTTTGGTCCAACAGCCGGTGTTCCCTGGCTCATGGCTGTTTATTATCACTGGTCTTCATCCTTTCGGAATCTCCAACTCATTTTGTGCACTGTGGCCAGAAGGCTACGTCTTCCTAGCCTATACATTGATCCTGTCCCTCCCCTGCTCAGAAACCTCCCTGGACTCCCTAGGACCCTCAGAATCAAGTCCAAACTCCTTGGCTTGGCCTTCAAAGCCCTTGCCAACCTCCTCAGCAATACCTTCTACCCTGTTGGCCTCCGGACTTCTGCACATGTGGCACCTACTCTCTGCTTGGCGTCTTTTCCCCTTCTGGTGTGTTTAGTGAGTTCCTGCCTGTCCTCCAGCATTCATCAGGTGTCATTTTTTTCTAAGAAATAATGAAAATTTGAGCCCCTCTTTGGGCTATGATCCTTCACATGCATTATTTCTAAGCCTTATAATAATCCCTTTGGGATAGGGAATGGTAGTTTACAAATGAGAAGACTGAGCCTCAGAGAGGTTGAAGGCTTGCCCAAGGTCAGATAGCTGAGGAGGGGCCGTCCTGGTGGTGCAGTGGTTAAGTTTGCATGTTCTGCTCCAGCGGTTTGGATCCAGGGTGTGGACCTATGTACCGCTTGTCAAGCCATGCTTTGTCAGGCGTCCCACATATAAAGTAGAGGAAGATGGGCACGGATGTTAGCTCAGGGCTAATGTTCCTCAGCAACAAAAGAGGAGGTTTGGTGGTGGATGTTAACTCAGGGCTAATCTTCCTCAAAAAAAAAAAAAGATAGCTGAGGAGATCATATAACTTGTCTATCTAGCCTCTGAGTATATCCCCTGTCTACTCTTCCCTGTAGACTTTTCTCTCCTCTCTGTGCAAAATGACAGGCTGCCCCTAAGGTGCCTCTATCACATGTTTGTCATACAGTGTGTCTGTTCACTCTACTATCCCCACTAGACTGAGAGCTCCTTGAGGACCCTCTCTGCTCCACTGTGCCCAGCACAGGGCTTGGTGCAGATCCAGCCTTGATAAGCCTTTATGGAATAACAAAAGTATCCTAGAATCTAGAATCATAGAAACCTGCACTTTTCACAATTGGTAGAATCTTAGAAGCTTTGGGTGTTTAAGCCATGGAATTTAAAAAAAAATTGCCTGATTTAACCCCCACGCAGAGCAGAGGTCCCCTCGGCCACATGGTCATTTGAGTGCATCTCTTGAACTCTTGTTTGGATTGGGTGGCATTGGCTTTAAGTAAAACCAATGTAAGGCATTTCAACTGAAGCTTCTGGGCTGCAGGAAATTGCACCTGGGGAGTGTGTGTCATGACCAGGAGGAGAAAGTGGGCTTCTCCTCAAAACCAGCTTCCTGGAATGAGGGAGCTGAGGACATGTGTCATGGTGTGTGACATGGTTCTCCTTCCCTTGTTCCTGCATATCACCACCCAGGACGCTTCCTTTTGGGCCCAGCTTGCTGCTGGTATCCAACCCCAGTCACATTCCTGCTCACACACGTTCAGACTGAGGCACGGAAGATCCTGGCTGTGATTTTCACCTGACATCACCTGAGATCATGCCTGTGGTGTGATATCATAGGGAGGCAAGGGACAAGGGGCTGGGGAAACACAGCCATCTCCCATCGAACTGGAAGCCTCACTCCTGCAGTGGTTTTAGGCTGGTGCTCAGTGAGAACAAGTGACACCTTGTGGCAAATCGTAGATTCTGAATTCAGAAGGGAACAAAGTTTTTGGAGAATCTATTTTATTCTAAAAAGGTGTAGTAAGTATCTACTAGATGCCCAACCCCATGATAAATGCTGGTGCAAGACAGTCATAATAGCAACAACAGCTTCTGGTTTTTGAATTTACCGTGTTCCAGGCATGTGCTGAATATGTAACAGGCACCTTCTCATTCAATTCTCCCAACAACCCCATGAGGTATGTGTATTTATCCCACTTTACAGAAGAGAAAACCGAGGCTCTCAGAAGTTACGCTGGAAGCCTACACTGGTAGTAAATGAGGAGATACAGATGGAACCCATGTCCGTCTGACTCCTAGGCCCAAATTCCAAACAGCATCCTAAAAGTCCCACTCTGTCCTCAAAAATTGACACATTGCTCAGAGAGACTATGTATATGGAAACTTACGCCTCCTCTAGACTGTTTGCAAACACCCGTGGGAAGGAAGATGTTGAAATAATAGTAATGATAATATTAACTCCCTCCTCTTTGCAGAATGCTCTAGAACTTACAAAGCACATTCAGAAGATTTTGGAATAGTGGGAAAAGCAGGAGATGAGGGGTGTCAGACCCACTCAGATTTGATTCCCAGACCCTCTACCTCTTAGCCATGTGACGTAGGGAGGTCACACCTTCCCTCTGGGGTCTGTATCCTCTCTCATTAACGTGCTCACCTCACCAACCCATAGGGAAGCAGTGCTATGACAAGGGCAGTGACTTGCCCAGGGTTTCCCAGGGAGGTAGAGGCAGAGCCTCCTCATTCCTGGAGGCTGCCAGGGTGCTTTCCACCTGGGGAGGTGGGGAATGGGAGCCTTGGGCAGCTTTCTGGGGAGCCCTGGTAATCCCTTCTCCCTTCACCCCCCTTTTCTGGGAGAAGTGCTCAGAGATCTGAGCTTTGACCCCTGGCAGGAAAGAACCTCCAGGTGTCCCCTCAGGCCTACCCTTGCCCCCTGGACTAGAGCCAGAGCAGTTGGTGGTGGTAAGATGCGTCCTGGATGTGACCCCCTCCCACCCAACACAATTAACCCTTTGATTGCTGGACCCAGATTGCTCCACCTGGGGCCAAAAGGACCATAGACTCCTGGGACATGGGTCAAGTCACTTAATGTCTTTGTGCCTCATGGCCTCCCTGTAAGATAGGAACAATGATGGGGTTGTTGTGAGGTTATAAATGAGGTTATGAGGCTGTAAATGGATTAAGAATTGTGAAGTGCTTGGAACAGGCCTGGCACATAGTAGATGCTTTTGTCATTGTTAAAGTCTCTGAGCCTCGCTTTCCCAATCTGTGAAGAGGGGATGATGTTATTAACCTTACAGGGTTGTGGGGAAGATGCATTAGAACAATTAGTAATAATAATTGTAATAATATCAATAGTCAACATTTTTTTAATTTCTTTTTTTTTTTTTTTCTTTGCTTAGGAAGATTCATCCTGAGCTAACATCTGTGCCAATCTTCCTCTATTTTGTATGGGGATTGCTGCCACAACATGGCTGCCTACAAGTGGCATAGGTCCATGCCCAGGGAACCGAACCCAGGTCACCGATGTGGAGCACGTCAAATCTAACCACTAGGCCATGGGGCTGGGACCCTACCCCCACTTTTTTTTTTTTGAGGAAGATTAGCCCTGAGCTAACATCCACCGCCAATCCTCCTCTTTTTGCTCAGGAAGACTGGCCCTGAGCTAACATCTGTGCCTGTCTTCCTCTGCTTTATATGTGGGATGCCTACCACAGCATGGCTTGACAAGTAGTGCATAGGTCCACACTGGGATCTGAACCGGCCAACCCCAGGCCGCTGGAGTGGAACGTGAGAAGTTAACCGCTGCGCCAGCCGGCCAGCCCCGATAGCCAGCATTTATTGAAAATTTTCTATGGGCCTGGCATTGTTCTAAGAGCTTTACCTGAATTAGCTCGTTGAATCTTCATAACAAATCCAATAGTCTTGATGATAATCCTTAAATGATCTCATTTTACAGATGAGAAAATCAGGTTAAGTGACTTGCCCAAACAATGAGGAAAGAGTGAGTCAAGATTTGAACCTGGGAGGTCCTAAGCCCTTGGGTGCCAGCACACCATCCCTGTGTTCATTTAGTATATTATCTTGTTTAATCCTCATAACAACCCTACAGGGATGGTATTACTATACTAGTTTTCCTTATAGCCTAGCTAAAGATGCTGGAGCCCAGAGAGGTAGGTGAGCTTACTGGGGACACCCAGCATGAGCTTGTGATGTCAGCCTTCAGGAACTGCTTCTTTCTACATTTATCCAATACAAGGAGCTCTCATCTCCCATAGCACTTATCACTCCAGCTGTTAGGAAGCTCTCCCTTAGGAGAAGCTGAATTTGTCCCTTATGAGCTCTGTGGGTCCTAGGGACCTCACAGAATTCCATCTTAGGGTCAGCAACACTAGTCTTTATCTCCTCCTCCCTTGGACATAGCCCGTTCTTGTCCTTCAACCTGCTGTAGATAATCAGTGTCCCTTCCATGGGTCAGAGGTCAGACCTGACCCATTTACTGAGATGGATTTAGTTGATTGTCACCTCCCTGTCCTGGGCACCCATTCCTAGTGACCAACACCTTCAGCCCCAGCCTGGCAGTGATGGAAACTCCAGGTGAGAGCTACATTCAGGATACTGACTTTCTGAGCTGAGTGAAGTGGCTTGCGGTTTCAGAGACCAGCTCCAGATATGCTCTCATCCCCACACCCTTCCTGTTTGATAACCGAAGGCCAAATCTGAGCCATCAAATGGCAGAGAGGAAATCAGAGACTTAGAGATAAAGAGAGTGGGGAAATGAAACTTCCCTGGATTTTTCAGGGTCAGTAAAAAGTTTGAGCTCCCTGAGACTCCTCACACACCATGAGAATTAAATCTGTAGTCTTTTGTATAATTAATTGCTCTGATCCAAAAGAATAATAAAATTTCTCTTATCTCTTCCTGAGAGACCCAAATGATTATAGCCTGAACAAGGTTCCTAGGTTAAACCCACAAGGTGCCAGGAGCCTGGAGTGGCTTCCTAGAGGCCAGCATGCAACATACAGGCGCTTCAGGCATTCAGGAAGGAACGAGCCCAAGAACTTGCAGACAAGTCCAAAGACTTGTCATAAAAGCCAAGATGTGCAAAGAGCTATCTGGCTCCTGGGGAGATTTGTTTACCTGCCAAAGAGTTGGAGTAAGAAGACTTAAGGAGGGGAGGGGGACAGCTGCCTCCTTCCCCCTTATAGGCAGGAAAAATAATAATTCTTCCCTGTTGCTCACCTATGGGGTGTCTGGCTACTCTCAGGACAATTGACCTGGCTCTCATGGCATCATCGCGGGGCACAAAGGGGCCAAAACATTTACTGTGAGATATTTACTAAGAAATCTCTCTTTTGGGCTGGCCCCGTGGCCGAGTAGTTGGGTTTGCACACTCTGCTTTGGCGGCCCGGGGTTTTGACAGTTTGCATCCTGGGCTCAGACATGGCACTGCTCGTCAGGCCACGCTGAGGCAGTGTCCCACATAGCACAACCCGAGGGACTTATAACTAGAATATACAACTATGTACTGGGGGGCTTTGGGGAGAAGAAAACAAAACAAAAACAAAAGCAGAAGATTGGCAACAGTTCTTAGCTCAGGTACCAATCTTTAAAAAAAAAAAAAGTGAAGTCTGTCTTTGATCCGGAACACCTCATGGGCACATCTGGGATAAAATTAATAAAAATGAACATTAAAAACCCAAGAGAGAGACAAAGAGGGAGTCCAAAGGGGGAGAGATTAAGAGACTGAAATACAGAAGCTCAGACTAAGAAAGACAGAGAGGGAAAAATGAGTAAATCCAGGTAAAGATGAGAGAAAGTCTGACTGAGAGGCCGAAAGAGAAGGATTGAGTTTGAGTGTTTATTCATTCGTGGAGTATTTATTGAGCACCTGCTGTGTGCCACATATTTTATTCTAAGTTGGAGACAAGCAGTGAACAAAATCTGTACTCTGGTAGGAGGAGACATACCAAAAACCAACGAGAAAAATATATTGCAAATCGGATGGTGATAAATGTTACGGAGAAAAATAAAGCAGGGAAGGGAGATATGAGATTTAGAATCAGGACATTAGGAAGAGCCTCACAGAAAAGGGGACACTGGGGAAGGCCTGAGGGAGAAGAGGGAGGAAGCCATGCCCTCCTGGGTATGAGTCTTCTAGGCAGAGGGGGCGGCAAGCGCAAAGGCTGAGGCTGGAGGGAGCAGAGGGAGAGGGGTGGGAGACGAATTGGGTCAGATTGGTGGGGCCTTGTAGACCAACAGCCAGGACATGGGCTTTTATTCTGAATGAAATTTAAACTGAGACTTGAAGGGTAAGCTTACAGGAAGGCCTGAGGCTCCCAGGGCAGAATCCACTTCTGGGCTGCACGCTCTGGATTCAGTTGATTCATTTGTTCAGCTGTCCCTGTATCCTTCACTTTCCAAGCATTTAGGGGGGCCCATTTTGCCCCGGGGGTTGTGCTGGGCACAGGGAAAAGACTCTGCCCTCAGATCTGGAGGAAGAAAGCTTTTCAGGGTGGGGTGAGGTCCTGTCCTTTGGCGGAGGTGGAGATGATACTGTCAGTGTGAACTTGGAGAGCCGTAAGCTTGGGGACTGCGTGGGTGACAAGCTGGGGAGGGGCCACAGGCGGGGAAGAGGGAGGCTGGAGAGTGTGGAGGTGGAGGTCAAGGAGAAAGGGGAGCCTCCCCCCAACCATGTTTCTGTCTTTTCTGTGGTATGACGAGCCCTGTCTCCCTGTTGGTGCTGAGCTCTGACTCCAGGCTGGGCAGGGGAGGGGACAGTGGGATGTGCCAGGACAGGTGGCCTTGACATGTGATGCTTGTCTGCTGACCACTTAGTCCTTACTTTTAGAACGGTTTCCAGAAGTGATGGGAGGAGGTGAGCAGGGCAACTAAATATAGTCCTGGGGCCAGTGGTCAGTCTGGGAGGGTCTGTCTGCTTTTTACTGCATGCCCATCACCCGTGGGGTCCACTGCTAGCTGCCCCTGTGAGTCCACTGTCTTTGCTCTGTGCTTGCTGCTGGCTCCTTACCCATCTTCTGACAGAGCTCCGACCCCTCTACGGTTAGGCCTGACCTTGACTGGGCCTCCTGGGAGTTTCTTTTTGCTCAAGATCTCCAACAAAACCTGTGAGTCCTGTGGGTCCTGTGGGCCTGGAGATATGTGGGAGGCGAGGGCTGGGGATCCTGGAGAGGTGAGTGAGAAGAGGGTAGGAGAATTCGGGGATGGGGCTGAGACCTGGGGAAGGACAGTAGGTAAGACTGTGTTTGCAACCCGGGGTGGTGTTTAGGAACCGGGATTGAGACCAGGTCCCTGACAGGGGCTATTTTCGGGGCTGGGGCTGAGAACTGCAGCTGACGCTGCCTTTGGGACTGAGACTGAGTCCCCTTTCCCTCTTGGCCAGAACAAGAGTCCTTTCCTGTACAGCATGTGAGATCTTTATAGGCTGAGGCTCCCCCTCCATGGCCGCAGACCCCATTGGGGGCTGAGGTAGGCCGGGCTTGGGGCCGCCAGAGCCTCCCTGACTGACCCCTCTTCTACCCAGGCCCGCCATGTCTGCTGCGCCCGGACTCTTGCACCAGGAGCTGTCCTGCCCGTTGTGCCTGCAGCTGTTCGACGCGCCCGTGACCGCCGAGTGCGGCCACAGCTTCTGCCGCGCCTGCCTGAGCCGCGTGGCAGGGGAGCCAGCGGCGGACGGTACGGTGCTTTGCCCGTGCTGCCAGGCACCCACGCGGCCGCAGGCGCTCAGCACCAACCAGCAGCTGGCGCGCCTGGTGGAGGGGCTGGCTCAGGTGCCGCAGGGCCACTGCGAGGAGCACCTAGACCCACTCAGCATCTACTGCGAGCAGGACCGCGCGCTCGTGTGCGGCGTGTGCGCCTCGCTCGGTTCGCACCGCGGCCACCGCCTGCTGCCAGCCGCCGAAGCCCATGCGCGCCTCAAGGTGCGGGACCCCGGCGGCACCGGCCAGGGGCGGAGAAGGATGGGACTGTTGGAAGGGGCGGGGCCTGGCCGATCCCTTCGCCGCGTTAACTGGGACTCCGAGCTTCAGGCCAAGGCGCTTGGAGTTTTAGGGGGACGTGGGTGGAGAGAGGCGGCTAGGGAATGTGGGGCTGACGAGCTGAAGGGCCAGCCGGGCAGAGATGGAACCCTTGAAAGGGTGCGCCAAGGAGAGGTTCTGGCGGGACGGACGCGGCGGAAAGCTAGATTTCCCAGTGTCAGCCGCTGGAGCGCGCCCGGAGATGCGGCGAGGGGCGCGGCCACAGAGCGGAGTCTGATAAGCTAGGGGCGGAGTGGAGGGCCGAGGCGGTGCCTGCGGCCCCAGCGTGCCGGCACGGCTGATGGGCGAGGGTTCCCGGAAGAGTAGAGGCGCCGGGCTTGGGGCGTGGCTGGCCGGCCACACAGCTGCTGAGCGGTGGCCCAGGCGCCCCCGGAGCTGTAGAACTTGTGCGGACCTGTCAGTCATGAGATGGAGCCTAACCGAAGGGGAGGCGGGGAGGACAAGGCACGCCTGGGCACGCACCTCGTACGCAGGCCCATGTTGGCGCCAAGACCCAAGTCCAGGCTGTTTTTCTGGCTGGAGCTGGACGTCCTGAGCACTTCCAGAGCCCACACACCAGCTGTGAGCGCCCCAAGGTTGGCGATCTCACAGGTGCCCAGCAAAGGCGCCCAGACATTGGTAAATGGAAATGTAGGCACACACTGGCTCGTACATATCATAGGTGTGGCAAATCACATGCATGTAGCTACGGGAGGGTATATGTCCACACAGGCCCAGGAAAGTCTGTCATGAAGCATTTAGTGGGCTGTGGAAGAATAAACGACAGGTGCGCAGGAAGTGGGGGAGGTGGGGTCTGGAGGCATGGAGAGGTCATTGGTTCTCGAGGTGGAAAAGCTGCCATCGTCTTCTCGCGACTAGTTCTTGGGGTGAGCTTCTGCGGATTATCTTTGCCCGCAAACATCATTGTTGCACTGCCTCCTCCTTGGCCCCCGGACTCCTAGGCGGGGTAGACCCTGGTTCTCAGGCTGGTATTCGAGGCCCCCAGGCTCCCCCAGGGGCCCAGCCTCACTGTCCCTCCCACCCCTGTCTTGCCCAGTCCAGCCCAGTGCTGGCTGGTGGTCTCCTAGCCCAGTGCAGGAGCTTCCTCCTCCCAGGAGCCCTCCCAACCCAGGCTCACCTCTGCTGCTAACCCAGAACTCCTAACCTCGCCCGACGGCATCTGCAAAGGGAGAACAGAGTCTGTGAAATGGGACAGGACCTCAGTGGCCCAGGAGCCTCGAGGGGGCAGGTGGGGTGGGATACAGTCTGCCAGGGTCCTCATCAGCCCAGCCCTAAGCTGCAGGGAGGGACTGGCCAGAGGTCTGAAGGGGGATCTCCAGGAGGAGCCTGAAGGAGGAGGGGACAGGAAGGTTGGGGAGAGACTGGGTCCTTGGCAAGGTAGAGGGGCTGAGTCCAGAGACCATGCGCCAGACTCAAGGGTAGACGAATGGGATGCCCCGGCTCTAGGGACTCACTGTGGACCCCCTGAAGTTGTATTGCCTCTTCCTGCATGCCCATGTCAAGCATCACTGCTGTGAGCTCAGCGCCATACTCCTCCCGGTAGAAGGAGACCAGCTTGCCAGTGAGGTCCACTGTGCCGAGCGGCCCCCTGCGGGATGTTGCGGAAGCCTTCGCGCAGCTGTGCTGCCCCAGCTTCAGCTTGAACTTCTTGAGCTCATCCACTGTCAGGTTCTACAGTGCCTCCAGGAGGGCATCTCGAATCTTCCCCGTGGCTCAGCCCTGCTGCCTCTGAATCTTGGATGGTCCCGTCGGTTTGCAGCAGGCAGGGCGGTTGCCCCGGAGGAAGTCCCGGGGAGGAGACTGACCTGGCGACTGGCCAGGGGAGCCCGTGGTCCAATCCTGCGGCTCCTACCGGGCAGGGATTCTCTAGCAAACTGTGCCTAGAGGGTCTCTGAGTTTTCCGAAGGAGGAGTGGGGTGGGCGGGCGCCAATTTGTCACAACCACAGGTGAGGTGGGGATGAATGTTCCCATTCCTCAGGAGAGAAAACTGAGGTTGGAAGGAGGCAGGACTGGAACCATCTGATTGCAGGGCCATGCACCTCCCAGCCAAGAGTGGCTTGGCAGGAGGTGTTAGTAGCTTGCCCATACCTGCATTTCAGGAGTCACAAACTGACAGACCTAGGGTAGGATCCTGCCCACAGATGTGTTTGGTTGGTCAATGCACTGGACACTTTTATTAAATTGCCTGCCCCTAGAGCCCATGGGTGTGCAGGGAGGCTGATTGGGGTGTTTTGCTAGTGTTCTGCTTTTAAGTATAGGGTGAAGCCCAGGAATAGGAGGAGTTTGCATTTCTTCACGTATCCTACAACTACCCCCTGAAGGCTGCTATGTCCCAAGCCCTGTACCTTTCTGGTGGAGACCAAACTACATTTGTGTTTGTCATCCTCACAAAGACCTGTGCTGGGGGCTGACTGCTGAGGGGATGGCGTTAGGGAAGGCAAGGCTAGGGAGGAGTTACCAAAATAGGCGATGGGAGGGCAAGCCACTGAGGACAGCAGGCCCAGTACTGGCAAGGGTCTGGAGACCTGTGAGTGGGTTTGAGGAATGATGAGATGCTAGCTAGCTGGAGGAGGAGCTGGCATTGAGGCTGAGCCAGAAAGGGTAGGTTTAGGGGTGGGAGGGGTGGGTTGGGGGTGCAGCATCATCACTTCTTTATGCTCCACTCCCAGACGCAGCTTCCACAGCAGAAGATGCAGCTGCAGGAGGCGTGTATGCGCAAGGAGAAGAGTGTGGCTGTGCTGGAGCATCAGCTGGTGGAGGTGGAGGTGAAGGACTCAGCATGGCAGAGCCTGGGGACTGGGTGTCCAGGCTGGGGTTCCCCAGCCAAGTGGTTTTGCCTGTCTGCCCCCGCAGGAGATGGTGCGTCAGTTCCGAGGAGCTGTGGGGGAGCAGCTGGGCAAGATGCGGGTGTTCCTGGCTGCCCTGGAGGGCTCCTTGGACCGTGAGGCAGAGCGTGTGCGGGGTGAGGCAGGGGTCGCCTTGCGGCGGGAGCTGGGGAGTCTGAATTCTTATCTGGAGCAGCTGAGGCAGATGGAGAAGGTGCTGGAGGAGGTGGCAGACAAGCCGCAGACTGAGTTCCTCATGGTGAGCACTGGGTGACCTTTCCTTTCTGCCCCTCAGCCAGGGTTGAAGCCCCAGAGATCTCCTCTCATTGTCAGACAGGGACCCTGAGGTCTAGAGAGGGGCGAGGACAAGCCAGGGTCACACATCAAGGAGGGGTGGGCCCTGGGACTGCTGTTATGCTTGTTTAGGTCAGGCACTGCACACTGCACACAGACACCATAGCTGAGTGGGCACCGCTCATATCATAGACGTTGTAGGTTTGTATATTTATTAGGTCAATCTTCTAACAGACAGAATTCGTTTCTTGGGGAAGGGGTTAGCTTTTTCTAACTCACACAGAGGTAAAGGGCTATGGGTGGCCTTGAGTTCCAGATTTCCTTCGGCTTTTCCAATTCTTCCTGACCCCACACTCAACTTTCCTGAGTGCCTCTCCTGCCCGCCTCACCTCCATTATCTTTCTGTCTCTCTCTCTAGAAATACTGCCTGGTGACCAGCAGGTGAGATCAACTTGGCCCTGCCCCTTTCCCCAACTTGCCCTAGTCTTCCAGGGACACTGGCTGGCTCGCCCTCTACTCGTGATATGTCTGTCTACTCCTGTTCAGTCCACTTCGATTTCCCTGCACTTGGTGTTAAACAGAAATGAACCTGACCTGGTCTTTCTCCTCAGGGACCTCCCAAACTGGCACTGGGGACAGACGTGGGCAGGGACACGGTGTCATCACTGTGTGCTTAGTGCTGCTGTGGAGGAAAGGGAGTGGCCAGGGCAGGCTTCCCAGAGGAGTGCACATTTGAATTGGATGCTGGAGGAATGAACAGGAGTTGGCTAGATAAAGAGTTGGGGGAAGAGCATTGTAGGTAGAGGGAACAGCAAGTGCAAAGACTGGTAAGGGGAGAGAAGATGAAACTAGGGTGGCAAATTGTGAAGGGCTGAGGACTTGGACCTTATCCCAAAGAAGGTTTTCTGTTTTTTTTTTAAATTGTGGAAAAATATACATAACAAAGTTTACCATTTGAACCATTTTTTAGTGTACATTTTAAGTTCAGTGGCATTAAGTACATCACGTTGTTGTGCAACCATCATCACCATCCCTCGCCAGAACTTTTTCATCTTTCCAAACTGAAATTCAAGTGGAGGAGTGTTAGTTAGGCTGTGATGTGGGGGAGATCCTGGAACTGTCCTCCTCTCCTCCGGGTACTTCCTCTTGCCCTCCCCCAACCCCGCACCTCCTCCAAGAAGTCCCTTCACAGACATCTTCCCCACCTCCCTACTCCCAGGCTGCAGAAGATCCTGGGAGAGTCACCACCACCCGCCCGTCTGGACATCCAGCTTCCTGTCATCTCAGATGACTTCAAATTCCAGGTGTGGAGGAAGATGTTCCGGGCTCTAATGCCAGGTACTGGGAAGGGCCAACTCCAGGTTTGTGTTTGGAACTGTGTGGTTGATGGCAGGCCCCAGTCACATACAGAGAGGCCTCCCAACTGGGGAGGTTATTGGAGAAGGTGCCCATTGCCCCTTTACCTCTGGGGTTCCCCCTGTGCCCTCGTAGCCTGCACTCAGAGGAGAAGGACCTTTGAGGGCAGGGGGTTTACAGGTGGGTGACTGACACAGAGAGGATGCTGCTTACTGACAGGGTGCTGCTGCTGCTGGCAGGGGAGGCTGAGACCTGGGTTTCAGCCACTGACTCCCTGTGTGATCCCTGGCCAGTCCCTGCCCCTTCAGGCAGTGGAGATGATAAACCCGGCTCAGTGGGGGCTGAGGATCTGCAGAGCTGGAACCCTGGGGACTGGCCTGGGTCAGACACTGACTCTGGTGGCCTGTGGCTGGGGAGGCCCAAGGGCTCAGTCTCCCTTCTTCAAAGATAGAGTGCATTGGGTGCTACAGGTTTACAGAACTCTAGGATGTGTACACATGGCTGGTGTAGCCCTCACTGCCATGGGAAGGTGGGAATGGAGGGACCTCTGTTTTAGTCAAGAGAAGACTAAGGCCCAGAGACTGGGTCAAGACTGACAGAGGTCACACAGCCAGGTGAGGTGGGGGCTGGCCTAGAACCAGACTTCCTGACTCTCTCCTTCTCTGTGACCTGGGGCCTTTTCTGGGCCTGGGATGGTGAATTACATGACTTGTATCAACTTAATCCTCTCCACGACCCTGGAAAGAGGCAGGTATGTCCTCATTTTACAGCTGGGCAGAATGAAGCCCAGAGAGCTAGTCTTTGGCCCAAGCCAGTAAGCAGAGAGGGGCTCACTCCTCAGAGATGTTGGGAGGTTTAGAAGAGACAAGGTTGGCCCACAAATTGGTTGGGAGCAGGCTTGCGGAAGGCAAACACGCAGGGGCCTGACTGGTCTCCCTCTGGTAGCCCTGAAGGAGCTGACCTTTGACCCGTGCTCCGCCCACCCGAGCCTGGTGCTGTCTCCCTCGGGCCGCCGCGTGGAGTGCTCCGAGCAGAAGGCGCCGCCGGCCGGGGAGGACCCGTGCCAGTTCGACAAGGCCGTGGCGGTGGTGGCGCACCAGCTGCTCTCGGACGGGGAGCACTACTGGGAGGTGGAGGTGGGCGACAAGCCGCGCTGGGCGCTCGGCGTGATCGCGGCCCAGGCCAACCGCCGCGGCCGGCTGCACGCGGTGCCCTCGCAGGGCCTCTGGCTGCTTGGGCTGCGCGACGGCAAGATCCTGGAGGCGCACGTGGAAGCCAAGGAGCCGCGTCCGCTGCGCACCCCGGAGAGGCGGCCGTCGCGCATCGGCATCTACCTAAGCTTCGGCGACGGCGTCCTTTCCTTCTACGACGCCAGCGACGCCGACGCGCTGGAGCTGCTCTTTGCCTTCCACGAACGCCTGCCCGGGCCCGTGTATCCCTTCTTCGACGTGTGCTGGCACGACAAGGGCAAGAATACTCAGCCGCTGCTGCTCGTGGGGCCTGATGGCGAGGAGGCCTGAGGCCCGCCGGGTTGGGGAGGGGTTCGGGGTCCTGGCGGCTGGCCTGGGGCCCGGAGGGAGACGGGTGGGAGGAGGGGATGGGGGAGGGGGCGATGGGTTGCCAGGCCCGAAGGCAGGGCCAAGGCGAGTGGGGACTGGGGCCTCAAAGATTCGTGAGAAGTTGGGGGTTGGCACGAACAGGGGACTGCAGTGACGGTTAGGGTGGCAGTGGGGAGGGGAGATCTAAAGTCGGGTCAGTGAGGAAATCCCAGTTTGGGAAAGAAAGGCCCAGGGGTTCCAGGAAGAAACTGAGGCTGAGAGAAGGAGGGAAAAGGGTCATTGGTCTGGGGGCGGGGGTGGGAGGGGGGCTGATTGAGAGGAGGAGCTGGAGAACTCTGCGAGAAGGAGCCCCTGCAGCCTCATTCTCCCCTCCTCCTTGGGGCCTCCGCAGGGGTCCAGACTCACCGTACCAAAAGGCCTTCCACTTAGTGGTTCTTCAGCTTGGGCCTGCATCCACATCACCTTGGCAAAGTGCATAACAGGGACTTGTTAAGCCCAGATTGCTGAGTTTCTGATGCCGTAGGTCTGGGGCTGGTGGGCTGGCGAAAAATGTGCCTTTCTATCAAGTTCCCACCTGATGCAGATGCTGCAGGTCACAAGTGGGGTCCCACCTGAAGGACAGCTGACTCAGGCACCCACCTGTTCAGTCAGCTACTTGTCTTGTAGAGGCGGTTATCAGATAGCTGTCAGCTACCAGGCATAGAAAACCCAAAATACAGTCCTCAATTCAACGGCCATTTAAAAACTGCCAGAGCCTATGTTGGGTAAATAAACCGATCTCCAACTTGTTTCCCTTTGCTTCTAGAATATATTTGCTGAGTGTTTTGGGTGTTGAGGAAATCTCCCAAATTGCCGACCAAGAGAAAGAGCCTGATGCTAACCCCATGCCGGGCCCTGCTGCTTGTGGAAAATAGAGAGCTCCCCACCCAGCCCTACAAGTTGGCCCCTCACCACTAACTTGCTGGTTCACACCTTCTTTGCTTTTGGCTCAAAGGTCTATTTCTTGGGCTCTGGAGTAACTGTTGAGCTGAGAGTGAGAGTGCCCTTTCCCTGGAGGGAGAGGACTTTGGGCATTCGGGCAGGTGGGACTGAGCCTGCTGCCCCTCCTATCCTAAGGGAGGATGATGGCCTGGGGCCGTTCCATCTCACATGATGTTGCTGGGATGCTGCTACTGCTGTGTGAAAGGGCATCGGGACCCCTGGCAACTAGTGCCAACTTGGGGATTTTCTTGGGGGTGGGACTAAGAGATAAGGGGGAAAGGAGGGTTGTGGGTGGGGTAAGAAAGGCCTCAAGATGTGGCTCAGGGGCACTCCTGGCTGTGTCTCCCAGAGGAAGGTCTGTAGGGCCCTGGCTCTGGGAGACAGAAGAGAGGATTAATTTGAGAAGCTCTTTCATGCTAGAAAATAAAACAGTAAACTAAAAGGATTTTTTGGTTGTAAAATCCAGCACCAATAATAAAAACAATTGTATTCTGACTCCTTCCTCATTAAATCTGTATAAAGAGGCAAATGACCTGTGGCTAGGCAGTAACCTCCTTATGGCCCTCCCAGCCTTCAGTCTTGATGCATCTTTCTAAACATGCAGATGTGGTCACATGATTCACTCGGTCAAAACTTTCCACAACTCCTTGTTGCCTACAGGAGGCAGCCCCAGGTCTTGGACTTGGCTTCAAAGCTCCATGCGAGTCTCCACCCTCATCTCGTGCCACTCCCCCACATACATCTCCACTCTGGCCTGACTGAGCTTGTGGGGTCCTTGCACCCGCCCACATCACACACACAACTCTCGGCTAGGAATGCCTTGTCCCTCCTCTTGTCCTATAGGACTCTCCTGAAGCAGTGCCATTTCCTATCCAATCTTGACCCCAGCACCTCCTTATTATGTGCACCCACTGCACTGAAGCCTTGTCATGTGTGTCTGGGGAGGACTTATGGTGTCCAAGGGCCCAAAGCTTATTTCTGAGGAAATGGGTATTGTGAGAAGCAGATGTCAAGACAGGAGTAAATGTACAAGGACTTTATGAGGGAAGATGCCCTCGTGAGAGAAAATAGGGCTGGCGGATTGTGATGGCAGTCTGACCCTGAGTGAGTGAGAGAGGGAGGGAGGTGGGGTGGAAGTCCTCTCCTGTTGTGAGGACTCTTCCACAGAGCTGCCCCGGAGAGGAGCCCTGTGTGTCCCTGCATGCACATTGCTGGCTCGGAGCAGCCTCTGAGAGCTGGGCTTTGACGTAGCGCACAGCTGCCAAGGGATGGCTTTCACAGCTCTTCACCTGCAGCTTTCAGTCATTTACTCCCCATTGTTGGAGTTATATCAGGAAACTTTCTTTTCATAGCCACCACAAGTTCTTTCTGTATGAAGTTACCCTGGCTAGAGCTGTGTGCATTGACGAAAATGACCCTGCAACCTTCCCCATGGCTGACTGGGTGAGAGATGAGGTCCCAAGCCAAAGGCTGTCATGATGGGGCGAGTTTGTGGGAAACTCTGCCTAATCAGGGTGTTTCTTGTTGGTTGGTGGCTGCCTGGCCCAGTCAGAATCTCCCTAGGGACAAAGGAAGGTGCAGTGTGAACAGAGAAGTGGGTCCCTCTGGTGCTTGCATCCTAGAGGACCAGAGTCTCTCCTTTAGCACGTTCCCCTTGTGGAGGCTCTGGGCACCCAGTGCAACTGGCTGCTGAGTGATTGCCTGTGCCTCCTGACTTCCTTGTGAACAAGAACAAACTGTCACCTGCCACAGCCACGCTAAACTGCAAGCAAAAACATTTATCATGGGGCTGGCCCGGTGGCGCAGTGGTTAAGTGCGCATGTTCTCCTTTGGAGGCCCGGGGTCCACCAGTTCGGATCCTGGGTGTGGACGTGGCACCGCTCATCAAGCCATGCTGTGGCAGGCATCCCACATATAAAGTAGAGGAAGATGGGCACAGATGTTAGCTCAGGGCCAGTCTTCCTCAGTAAAAAGACGAGGATTGGCAGACGTTAGCTCAGGGCTGAGCTTCCTCAAAAAAAACAAAACAAAACAAAAAAAACCCCAAAAAAACCCACCAACATTTATCGAGAGCTTGTTATGTGTCAATGACTTTATATTCAACATTTCGTTTATCCTCACAATGCTAGGCCTCACAGCAACTAGTGCCCCCTAGGCTCCATTGCCTGTTCCACTGGGGTTCAAGTACTTCCTGGAACATCATGGTACCACCATGAAGGACCCGAGTCCACAGGTGCCTGGTGCATCTTGGAGTATCAATTTTACTCCAAGATTCTTCTTCTTCTTCTTGGTAGTGATAGTGGTGGAGGGACACTTGTGAAATTTAACTAATAAGCAAACATTGAAAACATCATGTTCATATGAAAAGAAACATAGAGTACATAATTAACATAAATTTTCAATATTAAACAAGAAATGTCTACGGAGTTTTGCATTGGTGCTGGCTGTTTGGATCTAGACTTCCAGACCCTCAGGGATATGAGTTCTTAAAATTATTTTTAAAGATATAAATAATGCATGAATATACTTAATAATATCTTACAAATAAGGGGAAAGTTCTCTTTGACCATGCCCCCAATCCTGATTTCTTCTCCTCCTCCCTCATCAGAAGTAATTCCTGTTATCAGTTTCGTGAGTAGTTTTCCAGGACTTTCTCCACATATATATGTCCCACAGAAAATATATAATGTGTTTTTCCTTTGCTGTAAGTGATGTCATACTTTACATTCATATGACATGTTATTCTACATACTCTGCAACGTGCTTTTTTCATTTAGTCGTATAGTCAGGAGATCCGTCCATGTTACTGTACAGAGCGTACCTTCTCCTTTTAGCTGCTGTGTGTATTCCACTGTATGAATGTGCTGTTGCTGCTTACTCATTCCCCAGTTAATTGGTATTTGTTTCTAATTTTGTTATCACAAACAATGCTGCAATGAACATCCTTATACACGCCTCCGTGTGCCCATGTGCAAGGGTTTCTCTAGGGTGGAGTTTCTGTGTCCTAGTGTGTGTGCCTTTAAAATTTTAATGATGTCACCATTAAATTGTGGACTTGAAGAAAAAGTGGTGGCTTGAAGGATTACATGGATATGAAGTGGTTAAAACTTCAAAGTGACGGGAGTTGAAGGAGTACATGAGGCAAATATCTTTTATCATTGGTTTCAGCCATGCTCTGGATGATTGCATAGCTTTTTCGTCATTTCTAGCTGTAAGAACAGTCTCATTTTCAGGTATGAAAAAGTCCAATTCAGCATAGTTCAAAATTTCAACACGAGATCCAGTTTAAAGTGAGCTGATATGTACAAATATCAAATCATTATGTTGTACCACCTGAAACTAACATAATGTTATATGTCAATTGCACCTCAATAAAAAGATAAAATAAAATACCTATTATTTGTACAAAAATGATTCTGGATGGAGATATACCAAAATGTTATCAATCTTTATCTCTGAATGATCCTATGACTTATGATTTTTAATATTTGGTTATATATTTTTTATGATTTAGTAAATGAATTTATTTTTAAAAGGAAAAAAAATAAAGTGCCCTGAAGTGGAAAAGGGAGGAGGACCTTCTTTCGCTCTCCTCTCAGTCCTTCTCCTTCCCCAGAACACTCCACCCCGGCTCTGCTGGCTCCTTCAGGGTTAGGGTTAATTACAGGAAAAGGGGCAGAGTGACACGTGACTGGTGTGGCTATCCTCTGGGACGCCTGTCACGACAGCATTCAAATATTGCTGCTTTGATGGGAGATGGTGTTGGGTTCTTCAGAGATGATATAGGCGGATTCTCTCTCTCTTTTTTTTTTTTTAAATTGAAGCAGCATTGGTTTTTAACATAAAAATTTCAGGTGCACATCATTATATTTCAACTTTTGTCTGGACTACATCGTGTTCCCCACCAAAAGTCTAGTTGCTATCTGTCACTGTACACATGTGCCCGTTTACCCCTTTTACTCCCTCCCCTCCATCCCCCTTCCCCTCTGGCAACCAGCAATCTGTTGTCTGTATCTATGTGTTTGTTTGTTTATCTTCGACATGTGAGTGAAATCATACAGTATTTGTCCTTCTTCAGGGAGACACTCTTGGACTGACCTCTTGTGGCAAACGCTCAGCTCCTACTCTGGTCACCCTCCCCCTACCCAGGAATTACACTCTTGCCAGGTCCCTTTGCCAAGGCAGGCAGTGGCCTTGGGCAGTGGCCTGTCACAACACCTTGAGCCCAGCTACTTTTGGCAGCATTCTCTTGGCCTCGGATGTCTCATATAAGATAAGGGCGAGCTCCTGTCTCTCTCTTTGCCTAGCCATCTTGGGCTGCTCTGATATACTCTGTCCCTCTTCTGGAATCCTCCAGGTGGGAAGTTAGCACTAGTCTCCATGTTCGTGTAGGTCTGCAAACCCTTGGGAACATGTATTGGGTTCTCCTAGGAAGGTCTCACCAGCTTTCATCTGGGCCTTCCAGTTCCTGCAGCTCAGGGCAGAAGTACTTCCAACCTCTGTGAGGGGTTCTTTTGGAGCAACACTCTCACTTGCTTCTAGGTGTGGGGAGCCCTTTTTGGGGTCAGGAGGGGAAATACCATTGAGGTAGGTGATGAGGGTGGAATTCGCAGGGCTAGATCTGCTCTCTCACTAGGAAGTCCCGAAGGGTGTGTCTGCAGTTCTCTTTAGAACATATCAATCATGTACTCTCCTTGGCTTTGGGGCTTTAAACAAAAATTCTATCAATTTACACTCCAGACAGCACCATATGAGAATATAGTCTCCCTAAGTCATCTCCAGCACTCAATATTATCAAACACAAATTCCTTTTTCTTTTTGCTAATGCGATGAGAATATAAATAAATAAACAGCACCCCATTGTTCCTGTATTTTAATTTATATATTTCTCATTGCATGTATTTATTGACCAGTTATATTTCCTCTTCTAAAAATTGCCTGTTCATATCACTTGCTCATTTTTCTTAATGAGTTATAGTGGTTCTTTATATATGCTGCATACTTATCCTTTGTCTATTGTGCATATATGTTGCATATATTTTCATCTAATCTGACAGCTTGTCCTTTAACTTTGTTTATGGAGTTCTTCTCCTTGTGGTTTTTAGAGGAAAAGTTTGAAAACCTCTGACCTAAGTGTCATCCGCATGGGGTTGTTTGTGCTCTCAAAATGCCTGAATGATGACGCACACTTCTGTCTGTACTGTGAGCTCCTCCTGGCAGGACAGGACTTCTGACTCCTGAGCACGTGCTCTTTGTATCAAAATCACCATCGCTCTACTTGTAGGAAAAGTCCTTGTCCCTAAAATATTTCTAACTGGAGTTTAAAACTTGAGCCCTAACTTGTTCAGAACATCCCAATTCTAGTGCAATCGCATCTCATGTGGGTAGTGGACTTTACAGAGTGCTTTCAAATCTGTAATCTCTTCTGATCCTCTTGAGGAGTGGAGGAGGGTCAGGATTATGTCTCCATTTTATTGGAGAAAACTGAGTCTCTC